TGTCCTGCTCTCACCCCCCTCCCTGGTCCGTCTCTAGGACTGACCCTCTGCCCAGCCCTGCCCTCGGCCCCAGCTCAGAGCAGCCTCAAGCTGAACTGGGGAAAGGGGCAGGCGGACAGGGAGAGGAGAGAATGGCAGAGCTGTCCCCATTCCCCCCCCCCGCCACAAAACAAACATGTGCCTGTTCCCAGCAGCAGCAGGGCCAGGGCTGCCCTCCCTGTGCTCTGCTCCCTGCTTGCTCCTGTCCCCCCCAGGCCCTGGAGCTCGCTGGGCAATTGGGGGTCACAGCCGGCGCGCATGCGGGGAGCACGGGCACGGCTCAATCCAGCTTGGCGAAGCCCCCAATGGTCACTTTACGCTCCTGCTTGTTGGCCACCAGCTCCTGGAGATGCAGGGCACCCCCTCCGATGAAGCAGAAGGCAGGGCAGACGGGCCCCGAGCAGTCCACACCACACTCCCAGAGCTCGCGGAAGGAGACGGCATCATAGAAGCTCACCTTGCCCTGCTCGTAGTCCAGGCAGATGCCAATGCGCGGGGGCAAGGGCACGGTGCAGCCATTGGGGTCGCGAGAGGTGAGCGCCGACCCGTGCGAGAGCAAGATCTTGCCCATGCCAATGGTGAGAAAAGCATAGGGCGGGGGTGCCTCCACCGTCGTGTCCTCTGCCCCACTGTCATGACCGCTGTCGGGGTCATACCTGCAGTGGGGGGATGGGTGAGTCCCGGTGCTGACATGCAAGGGACAGGCTGGGGCTCCTCTCCATGCCCCAATGCCAGTGCCCAGTGGGGAGGCAGGAACAGGCAGAGGACGCCCCCCCGCACCCACCGAGACCCTGCTCACCTGGGGCTCACCACATCCTGCGGCACCTGGAACCACTCCTGCAGCTTGCTCTCCAGCCCCACGCCCACCTTGACCAGGTAGGAGCTGGGGTCCACGCAGCAGGCCCAGTAGCTCTTGCCCTGCGTGATGGCCACGTCACCAATGACCAGGTCGATGGAGAGGTGGCAGCTGGTCATCAGGCGCTCAGCGGCGAAGAGCATGGGGATGCCGGGGACGCTGCGCACAGCCCGCTGGTCCTTGCTGATGGCCAGCCGGTCCCGGTTGAAGCCCCAGCGGTTGTCCAGGAAGAAGTTGAGGACTGCAGGAAAGAGGAGAGGAGGAGGGGTGAGAAGGACGGTGCGAGCGGCCGGTGGGGTGCTGGATCGCTGCTCCGAGCTCCCGGCACCCCTCACCTGGGGCAGGCGGCGTGTGCAGGTAGATGTCCTCACTGTACTCCCCAAAGCCCGCCTTGTTGCAGCCCTTCACTCGGAGCACATAGACGCTGTCGGTGTCCAGGTACTCCACAAGGGCGCTGGTGCCGTGCACCTCCTCCCGCCGCTGCCACAGCTTCAGCCCCTTGGCCTTGGTGTCCGTCTTGCGGTACTCCACCGTGTAGTGCCAGGCGGGTGGCGAGTGCTGCGGCAGCCGCCAGCACAGGAAGATCTGGTCGTAGGCGTAGGTGCGCTGTGTATCGATGACGGGGGCCTCGGGCGCTGCAGGGAGAGGCACCAGCGGGCATCAGGCAGCATCCCCTGCCCCGGCAGGCGGGGAGGCGGCCAGACGCAGGGAGGGGGCATTCCGGACGGACGCACGGACGCACAACCAGCAGGAGTCTAAGGGGATCTGACTGCAGAGACCGTGTGTAGGCACCAGAGGAGAGCGAGAGTCAGGGAGACAGAGGAGCTCGCTGCTGTGGGGCTCCAGGGACCAGACAGGCTGAGTGCAAGTCGGGGAGGGAGAAGAGAGAGAGAGAAAGAGAGAGGATGGAGGCAGCAGGAGAGGAGGAGGGGAGGAGATGGGGATGGCAGAGTAGTGTGAAGATGCCAGCGGCATGGCAGGAGCAGCAAGGCAGGGTGGGAAGAAGGGGTGGAGAGATGAAGGGATGGCAGGTGGAAGTGGGGCAAGGAGGAGGACAGAAATGGGGTGAGGAGGGGACAAAAATGGGGCGAGAGGCAGACAGAAATGGGGCGAGAGGTGGATGGAAATGGGGCGAGAGGTGGACGGAAATGGGGCGAGAGGCGGACGGAAATGGGGCGAGGAGGGGGCAGGATGCGTGGCAGCAAATGGAGGGGGGACAGAGCCACAGCCTGCCACCACCAGCAGGCAGGACAGGCATGGACAATGGCGGCGGAGGGGGGACAGGCCGGGAGTGGGGATGGAGGGATGGGACAGAGAGAGCGGGGCCAGCTCTGGGGCAGGGATGTGACTTGCCTCAGTTACTTCGGTGACGACTCAGCAGCGGCCGCAGCCTATAAACAAAGAGAGGTAGAAGCAGGTCTGAAAAGTGTTGCCAGCGGGTCCAGCAGGGCCACGCGGCTCCTGCCCTGTGGGGAAGCAACTGCCCTGCAGCGGGGCAGCCTCCGCTCCGTACTCACCCTCCGGCGCTCCTGCTGCCCTTACCTGGCACCGTGGCCCTGCCTGTCCTGCCCCCTCGCCTGGCCGCCCTGGCACAGGGCAGGGCAGAGACAGGGATCACTTTGGGGGCTGCTGGGATGGGGGCCATCCCTGACGGGGAAGGGGGACCAGCAGATCCGCGAGCGCCCACCCGAGCGCAGCCCTCCATGGCCGTGGTTGAGCTCCGGCTCCGAGGCGGGCAGGGAGCCACTCTGCCCACAGGGGCTGCACCTCCACATGGGGCACAGCCGGTGCCCAGGGCCTGCTGCCTTTACCTCGCATGAAGGCCAGGTCGGTGAGCAGCTTCAGCTCCCTGCTGACGTCCAGCTGGAAGTGGCTGAAGGAGGCTGTGGCTGCAGGACGGAAGCTCTGCAGTGAGTCGGTGGCCCTGAGGATCCTGAGGCATGGGAGAGCATGGATGTCAGGGTGGCACACAGTGGCCACCTTGGGCACTGGAGGGCTCTGACCACCCCCCCAGCAGCCCCATGTCCACCAGGGTCCCTGCAGCCTGGTACCTGGTGTGCAGCTGCTTGGCAGCCTGGACAAAGCAGGGGTGGTCGGTTTCCTTCAGCACCTCCTGGGCATAGCCCACCATGCCCGAGTTCTCCAGCATGGCCTGGTGTTCCTGGATCTGGCAGTGCAGGCTGGCCAGCCGCTCCTGCTGGCACTCCTCGATCGCCTGCAGCAGGGTTGCCCGCTTCTCCTCCAGAATGGCGCACAGCCCCTGGATCAGCTGCGACACCTCCTCCTTGGCCTGTGAGCCATTCACCTGCGGAGCACAGCAGGGTCAGCATGCTGCACGCCCCAGGGCGGAGAGGGGACCAGGCTGTCAGTGCCACCCCCCACCTAGGGACAGCTCAGGGACAGGTGGGCACCTTCCGCCCTCACCTCTGTGTGCTTCACCGTCTCCTCCAGCTCAGCAATCTGGGTCTGCACCGTGTCCTGGCTGCTCAGGATGTAGGCGAGGCTCTTTGTCAGCTTCTCCTGCAGGGAAAGAGGTGAGGCAAGGCGCTGGCAACCCCCACGTCCCTGACCTGCACACCCCATCTGCAGTGGGGCTCCGCCAGTGCCCCCAATTCCTCCCCCCTGAGTGTGGCCCCAGTGGCTCTTACCCTGAGGGCCTGGTAGGCGCTGAGCACCGGGGTGATCTTGTGGCTGGTGTGAGTGCGTCGCACGCGGCAGAGCTGGCACACCAGCCGCTGGCAGGTCTTGCAGTAGTGAGTCACCTCCTCCTTGTGCTCTGGGCACATCAGCCCCTGCGCGGACACAGGGGAGCTCAGCAGGGCTCCGCGCCCATCCCCCATCCAGCGTCCCTGTCCCCCCCCCACCTGCAAAATCCCAAGCGGGGAAGGAAGACCCCAACGGAGAGGCCGTACCTTGGGGCGGAAGGTGAGGGTGGGGGGCGTGGGCTCATGCTGGGCTTTCTGGGTGCCCCAGGGGTGATATAGCTTGAAGCACTCATTGCAGAAGCTGGACTTGCACTCGGTGCAGCCCTTGGTGGCCTCCAGCTGCGGGGGCTTGCAGAACTGGCACATGATGGCAGCGCTGATGTTGATGGTCTGGCGGTAGCGCTCCACCACCCGCTCCAGCGTCAGGTTGCGGAAGAGGCTGCCCAGGCCCCGCTCGCCCAGGTCCACGTCCCGCTGGCAGGCAGGGCAGGGGAAGCTGACGGTCTGGGGGTGCACGGTGCCCCGCTTGCGCCCCGGGTAGGTGCCAAAGCCTGCGGGAGGGAGGCAGGGAGGTCGTCAGGCGGGGCGCGGCGCCCCAGGGCTGCTCGGCCCTCCCGTGGGGGACCCAGTGGGTGCCATCCCAGCCCCCCCCAGCTGTCCCACCTGACTTCAGGAGGCGGTCGAGGCGGTCAGGCTTGGGGATGGCCCGGCGCCCCAGGCGAGGGCTACGGGTGGCAGGGGTGGCAGCAGGCGAGGAGGGCTCAGAGGTGGGGTCACAGCAGAGGTAGCCGTGCTGCAGCAGCACCTCGCTGGCACAGACATGGCAGACATTGTGCGTGCAGGGCAGGGCCAGCGGCTGCTTGTACATCTCCTTGCACACCGGGCAGACCAGCTCCCGCTCCATGTTCTTCATGCTGGTCTGGGGAGAGAGGGGGGAGCATCACCCGCTGCCGATGGGACCAGGGCCACGATGGGGACTGGGGCTGGGACTGGGGCCAGGATCAGGGCTGGGACCAGAACCAGGACCAGGATCAAGCCTGGGACCAGCAGCAGGGCTGGGAGGAGGATCAGCACTGGAACCAGCACCAGGATGGGGACCAGGGCTGTGACTGGGATGGGGATTGGGGCTGGGGCTGGCACCAGGGCCAGGATCGGGACCGGCACCAGGACCAGCACCAAGTCCATGATCAGGCCTTAGACCAGCAGCAGGGCCAGGATCAGGCCTGTGACCAGCACTAGGGCCAAGATGAGGACCAGCACTGCAACCAGGGCTAGGATGGGGACCAGGACTGGAGCCAGGATGGGGACCAGGACTGGAGCCAGGATCAGGCCTGGCGCAGCAGCATGGTCAGAATCAGGACTAGCACTGGGACCAGCAGCAGAATGGGGACCAGGGCTGGGATCAGGATGGGGATTTGGGCTGGGGCCGGCACCAGGGCCCGGATCAGGACCAGCCCCGGGGACCAGAGCCAGGACCAGCACCGGGATGGGCACCAGGATCGGGGCCAGGATGGGGACAGGGACTCCCGCCCACGGCTGTGCAGGCAGCCCCCGGCGCTCCCGGTGTTCCTGGCCCCGAGGGGGGCCGGTCCCGGCGGTGACACAGTGCAGGGGGAGGCCGGTGCCAGCCTTCCCCGGGGATCGCCGCCCGGTGAATCGGGGCGCGGGTCCGAGGCCTCGCCGCGGCCTGCCCGGCCCTCAAGGGCACCCTCGCCATCCCGCCC